TTCCTCACCCTTCCTATGTCCTCCAGAGTGAAAGAGGGGCAATTTTTTCTGAAGGGCATTTCCTTACCATTTGGGCCTATACCCTGCAATGAACCACCCCAAGTTGGGTCGGGTTTAAGAGGATTTATGCACATGTCTCATGAGATGTGTGAGGGTCCAAAAATCTGGCCACCAGTATTCCAAATGAAACAATAAGCCAGATGCATCCCCTTTGGCAGATTCTATGCAAATTCTCAACTCATATAGTATAGATACAGTATAGAAAATGTCTTTGGAGAAGAAACACCACTCTATACTGAGATACCACACAGTGAAACTAGGCTGCTTCTTGTAACATGGAGAAATGTTACAAAAGATGGGGGACCCAAGGTTGTAATACTATGCTTGGTCTTTAAAAGGGTCCTCTGTAGAACTTCTCAAACATTTCTGTGAAAGCATCTGTTACAGGGTAAGAGGAATTTGGTCACAAGGCCTAGTGAAATATGGGAGGAGGAGGAGGAGTGTGCGTGCGTCTGTGTGTGTGTGTGAGAGAGAGAGAGAGGGAGAGAGAGAGGGAGGGAGGGAGGGAGGGGATGGGATGGGATGGGATGGGGTGGGAAACAATATTATTTCTTCCCATTTCATTTTTCTTTCTGTTCATGAATTTTACTTTATTTTATTTTGCTTTGACAGAATTGAAGACATTCCTCTTCTTTCAGTTAAGAACTCACGGTATCCTGGGTGTCTGGAAAATTGCTGAGAATTTTAAGGACCATTTGGATCTCACAAAATTCAAATTAGAAACTGTTCAAATGGATTTTCTTTCTTTCAAGATCCCACAAATGCCACAGATTCCAAATGAGATCTCTACTAGAGTGGATGAATAGAATAAAACATTGAAATAGGAAGGATTGGCTGTGGGAATCCTCCTTAACCCATGGGCCATTTAAGACCCCAAACCCCATTTTTCTAGGCCTAATACTGCTTAGAGATGATGCTGTGAAATTGGTGATAAACCACCAAATTAAAAAAACTTGATTTCTGACCAGTTGTCAAAATAGAAGCAAAAGGAAAAGCCATGTCAGCCTTCAGATAGACCTTATAAATCTAAAAAGTAAAGCACTACTTCACTCTGCCCCTTACCAAACACACACACGCACACACACAAACATTTTGGGCCCCTCCACTCCTTGTGATTTACTGAATTGTCACCCCATCAATATCTTTGGCTGCTGAAAATCTGGAATTGAATTGGAAGAAAAATGGAGTTAGAATTGAAAAACACTCCAAAAACATTTAAAACTCACCCTCTCTTGAACTCAGGAAAGTGGAATCAAGGCAGTCACAGCTCCTTATATGAAGGCATTCTCTGTTTCAGAAAGAGGCATCCATAGTGGGGCATCAAACAAGTCAAGTTGGCAGTCAGAAATGCATATTATAAAGGGGACAAAACTTCAACCACACAACCATGATCACCATTTGTACATTTTTGACCTCCACTGAAGATGCCCCTAGTTTCAGAGGTAGATACTCAAGATCTGTAGCGGTTGTCAGCTCAGGACCTATACCCAATCCACAGCTCCCTGCAAGCTTGCATTCATACAAAACCACACCTTCCATAAACCCATCTCCCTCCCTCCCTTCCAGCATGAGGGGAAACAATGAGGCTAATTCTGCCTGTCTCCATCAATCTTGCTCATAGATTGCTAGATTCCCTCCACAGAAAACTAGAAGGATGTTTTCCACAGGTCCCTTGGAAGGGGAAGCTTCATCTCTTTCCCTCCCACCAATTCTGATGAAGATCCCTGGATCCCACTACCACTGGGAAACCAGCATTGATGATGGGGATTTTATTTTCCTCTGCTCTTGTGCCCTTTGCTGTGGGAGCTGGTTTGCTCCCATGAGTCATCCTCTAAGCATCTGCCATGCACAGTATCTGCTCAGTAGATTGTACACTAGGACTAGGCATTGCACAGATGCTGTGGACCTTCTAGAACACCTTCTAGGTATAAAGAGAATAAGTAGGGGACAACTGTGACTTTTCCCTCCCAGACAAATTTGCACTACATGAGTCTTTGTTTCCTTCTAACACTACAGATGGCTTCTGTCCTCCCATCCACTGAGTATTCTCAAAATGAATCACCATGTGCATCATAACCTCAGCACACCCTTTGCAGCTATCTGTTTAGCAAGCTGTTATGGGCACCTGGGCTGGAAAGCTATATTCTGGTCTTTTCCTTGATATTTGATCCCAACAAGGAAAGGATTAATTCATTTCCAGCTTACTAACCCACCTTTCTGACACCTCCCCCCCATCATTAGTCAGTAGCCATATGGGAAACAAGGCCACTTGGCAGTTACATTTGTGGCTTGGTTGCTCTTTGCAATAATAAACAAGTCAGGGGAAGCCAGGTTGGAGAAAAAAGGATGGATAACAGCATGGTGACATGACGTTTCAATGTAAATCAGGGATATATTTCTGCAGTTTTGGTTACTTGATAATTGGTTTCAATTTAGTTTAAAATATTTATAGGCTGCCTTGCTATTGTTACTATTATTCTAAGGAAAATAATTAAACAGGTTAAAATTGTCATGCTCATATCAGATAAATATAACGAACTAGCAAACTCAGCAACTTACCAAACAACAACTATATGAGGTATTTAAGCATTATCCTTAATTAAAAGCAGCCTAAAATAATTGGGTTATTATTTATCACCAAAAACCAATTGCTGATGAGGTCAGACTTCAGTTCTTAGTTCCAGAGCTCTAGGAAAAAAAGGTCACTCCAAAGATCCTGATCTCATTGTCTACTATTGTTCAAAATGAATTTGTTCTTCTTCCACTTGGAAGGTATCAATCTAGGATAAATTAAACCAATTAGTGGGAAGGTATATAGAAAAAAAAAAACAGTAGAGAGAACCTCTAAAGGTCAACAGTGTGCTCTCCTTCTCTTCTTCTTCAGGTTGATGCCCTGGTTCTTTCCCCAGCCTGCAGTTGCTTTTATTCTATTTGCTAGCAAAGGCCAGCAGACTTCCCTAGTGGTGTGTGGGGTTGGGGGGGAGGGTGGTAGGGATTTCCTTTGGTTTTTCAATGGTGCTTGCTAAGTATCTTTGAGGGTTTACCCCAAGAAGTTTGTGTGGGGCCCTGACTTTTATACCAAGAAGGCATGGTCCCCATAATTATCTGATACTCTCATCTTTCCTCCATGTTTGCTCTCCCATCGCTTGCTTGGAGTCAGTGGGTGGGTGAATGTTGAAGCTGGTCTCTGGAGAGAAGGCAGAACCCATCGCTGAGAATAACCTACGCTTAAGGCTGGCTCTGTCCCACCTGCAAAGACCCACGCCCTGCTTTGTGCTCACATCGCATACAGAGACAGACTGACATATGCATTCATATACAGAGAAAGAGCACTGTTTATTTGCCTTTTGTATGCGTACTCACTAGCACAACTCATGAAAGATTACAGTGGTATACCAAGCCTGTGTGGATATGCATTTGCCGGCAGGCTGCCAGCTTCCTCTCAAGTTGACTCAAAGCACCTTGCCAGCCCTATGTTATCAGTCCAGTCCTCAGCAACAATTCTCTCATTATTAAGAATCTCTACTAATGGAAAACAGGTCATGGTGTGTGCATGTTTGTTGTGGAAGAACATAATATGGATGCTAATTACATATGCCCCACTGGGACAGATAGCATTAAATAGGCTTAAAAATAGATAAGGCCAACACTAATTTTTGTAGACCCCATTGGCCTGGGGCATTTCCAGTCTGTTTTACTTTGTCATTCATTTCTTTGTGCACCATAGCAGTGGGCTGGATTGAGGAGGGAAACCATGAATACAAACCCTTGTCCAGACAGTCTTTCTGGCCCCTAGGCCATAATAAAGCTTTGATTTGACTTGATTTGGCCCAGACAGTAGACTTGCTGCCAAGTAAAGCTTTCGCTGCAGCTCTGTCTCTCAGCCTGGTTTTTTTACTTGCAAAAAGTAAACCTTCATCAACCTGTGTCAGATGAGACAGGTAACTGTTGACACAAATAAAAACTGTCAAATGATACAACATTTGGCAAGGAGCAATGGTAGTTAATCCAAATCAGGTCAGCATGTGTCCACCACAGCTTTTGAAGGAAGGAGTGCAATCTCTTTAGTTCCTGGAGGAAAGGCAAGATAACCATCTAATAAACAAATATATCTACAGAAGTTCAATTGGAAGATACTTTGCTGAGAAACAGAAAGGTACCAGAAAGGAATGGCTGACTTCCGAGGGTCAACTAGGGCCAATTAAACTGCAAGGCACAGTTGTAGCATTACTTTGGCTGTAAATCAAGAAGAATCTTGTCAAATCAAATAGATTTCAGGTTTCTGCAACAAACAGCTCTTTTTATAGTTACATCTGATTCACCAGCTTCCCTAGGAACTCTTGCTTTGGGACAAATCAACACGTGGTCTGGCTTTCAGGTTCTCCACTTTCCCTATGGAAAGAAATTCACTGGGGGAAAATATGCATATCCTGAAGAATCCAGTTTTGCAAAGCTGCCTATCATGATTGTCCAATGACTTTCCTTTTAACAAAAAAATTAAAAAGAAGCAGATCAAAGGTGCCACAATCCAAGTGTTGTAAAAAGGTTCCTTAAAAAAAAGCCTAAGATTACAAATCAAAGGTGCTTATAAAAGGAAAAGGGCTTGGGGGGTGGGAAGGGGCAGAGTAAACAGACAAGGTGCTAATCTGTATGCCATTATGCAATACTGTGGCTATCTTATGACAGCAGGGCCATTCAACAGGCTTCCATTGTGTGGAGGAAAAAATAAGGAAATCAGCATCCAAATTGGAGCTTGCAAAAGGGGAAAGCTTAGATGTTGTTTGAAGATGGAAAGTTTCCAAACTCCAAAAGAGCAGACAGAAGAGGGGACTGGCCAGCTTCTTGGCTCCACCCACACCTGGGCACAATCTCTTCTGGCTACGCCTGCAGAGAGAAAGAGTTATAGATATATATATATATGTGCATGGCCCCAACTTTTGGACAATCCTTTTGCAGCTTTGGCACTATCATTGCCATTCCACCAGCTCCAGCCCAGCCATGAGGAAAGAGGTTTGCACCATTACTTTTCTCCGAGCTGTCTTCACCGAGTTCTTGGCGACAATGATTTTTGTGTTTTTTGGTTTGGGCTCAGCACTGAAGTGGCCATCAGCCTTGCCAAGCGTCCTTCAGATTTCCCTGGCATTTGGCTTGGCAATTGGCACAATGGTACAGACCTTTGGTCATATCAGTGGCGGCCATATCAACCCAGCAGTGACCATTGCCTTCTTCGTTGGGAACCAGATCTCTTTCCTCCGGACCTTGTTTTATATCGGGGCTCAGCTGCTGGGGGCCATTGCTGGTGCAGGCATCCTTTACGGAGTGACCCCCAGCAACGCCCGTGGTAATTTGGCAGCCAATGGGGTAAGTACATCTCTCAGAAGGGGTTGGGGTCTAATGTGTGAGGAATTCTCAGGCAGGTCCACCTTCTCCTAAGGAGAGTTTGCATCTCAGGGGAGAAGAAGTATCAGCTACTCTGTTCCTGGATACTGGCAAAAGAGTAGCCTTTCCATTCCCAGAGAGCAGGTGGTGCAATAGATTACACCAGCACATCTCATCCAGCAAAGTAAGATGGAAATGTTCTCTTATCCATACACCTAGCAGTTTGCTAGCATGCATGAAGTCATTTACAAGGCAGCACTCTTTGAAAATGTCTTCATATCCTAAGGGGATGAGTGAGTCAATTAAAAAAGGAAAGCAAGAAATGCATTAACTCCATCACTGCTATAGGTAGAAGGATCAGCAGGAACAATGTAGAGAATCTACCTATAGCTATTGGTTTCTTATTAAAGATTCATCGTTTTCCTTTTCAGAAACCTTTCACAATAATTTCACACTTGATGCAAATTTGTGTGTGTTGGCTTGTGTGTTCTTGGAAAGGCATCAAAAGGATGGTGTCTAGGATTTACACGCACAGACACACAGTTATACATACCCTTTCCAATATTTTCCCCTCAGGCCTCCTGAGAAACAGCTCTTGATGATCAGGAGGTTTCTGCTTCAGTGCAAGGAATGGGGGCTTCGAGCAGTAAAGGAGAGCCAACTACAAACATATAGAACAGGACTGATCTCAAGATCCCTGGAAAAGATCACAGGGCAGCATTAAACCCATTGATCCAACTGGCTTCCTCATAGTAAATTAAACAAGCAGTCTGTGAAACTTATGAGAAACATTATTAGAGCCGGACAAAAAAAGATACAGAAAACAGCATGGAGATAATACTTTAAGTGCCATGTAAAAACAAAATCTCAAGTCATATGTGACTCTTGGTGACTGCAGGGACACATTTAAGTTTTCTTGGCAACAATACAGAAGTAGTTTGGCATTGCCTTAAACCTCTATCATTATTAAATGCAAGTGGAGGTTCCAGGTCTCACTTCTAAGAGCTACAAGTAGAATTTGAGACCGGTCTTATTCAGAATTATGCTATGATTTCAGGTTATAGACAATGTCCCCTCATCCCATGCTTTCCCCAAGGACCACTTTTATTTTTCCATCACTCCTCTTTTCATCAGCACTAATTGTCACAATGATTTAGATATTGTGGAGTCCTCGGGATTCTCTGAGCTTGGTTGTTTTCTTGCAGACATTTCGTTACCCGGCTAGGGTAACATCTTCAGCACTGAAGATGTTACCTAGCCCGGTAATGAAACATCTGCAAGAAAACAAACAAGCTCAGAGAACCCCAAGGACTCTACAGTTCAACCCTGAGCTACACATATTCTCTTCTATTGATTTAGATATTGCAACTATTGTCTAATGATGGTTAATAGAAGAAAAACTTAAGGAGAGTCAACTGAGAGCTTATTGCCCCATCAAAGCTTTCTATTTGCATTATGACCCCAACTAAAGTAAGCGTTGCCTTAGGTGGTAATAAAATATGTAAATCCCCAGTGGAATTAAAAATGAAGTATATTAACCCAACACCAGTCTCTTCTAGTTCAGGTCTAACAGAATCTTGCATTAAGGGGACTTCCATCTGAGGCTACCTAAAAGAAACTTTCAATCTGTTCCAGATTACTGAACAGTCTCTTATCTTTTCCTTCTATTGTCTTCAACAAGCCCCAATGCTTTTAAAGGCCATTTGACATAGATACAACATTATCCAAAGGAAAATACCTCCAGATGGAATCAGTGAGATGAGGTATAATTTCTGTGACAGGGACATAGAATGAAAGAGGTTTTAAAAAATCAGGCTTACATTCCTTAACACCCAAAAAACCATGCTCTATTTTTTGCAGAACTTTTTAAGGCTCTTTGCCTGCCCTTTTGGGAAGGTGCCTCCAATCCCATAATACCTGTGCCGAAACTTGGTAAATGCAACCCTTTATTTGAGATTAACGACCGCACCCCCAGTGACACAGGAAAAGCCACTGTACAGAGTAAATTGCAGATTACATCTCAAACGATCTGAACAGGAGAGCAATCACAAAGCTCTGTTGCACACTTCTCCTGCATTCACAGTTCCCCTTGATTTTTAGCAGGAGTGACTTCCTGGCAAGAATGTGCAAGACTAAAGCCTAAGCCGGTGCCCTTTTGTCCCAACAGCTCAGCAACAACACAACAGCAGGTCAGGCTGTGGTAGTGGAGATGATCCTGACTTTCCAGCTCGTCCTGTGTATTTTTGCCTCAACTGACAACCGCCGAAATGACAACGTGGGATCCCCATCTCTGTCCATTGGATTGTCTGTCACCCTGGGCCACCTGGTGGGGGTAAGTGTTGTTTGTGCTCATCAGTTCAAAAGCCAAAGAGAGGGGGAAATGGAGGGAGCGTACTAGTTCGACCTCTCACTACCATTCTTGGCTGGATGACCACCCTCAGATCATAAGGTGTCACAGCTGGTTTGTCCTCCAGTGCAAGCAGCTTGTGTGTGACAACTCCAGGTGAGCGAGGCAGCTGTATCTGCAACCTTCTCTGTAAAGGTGACCATTAGGAATACGGGAATTTTTTGGAGATAGGTTGACTTCATGGGTAGCTTCTGTCCAGATTCTAAGGCACAAAAGAGTCTTTCAAAACAAACTTACTGTAGACAGAAGCTTTTGTGAGTGAGTGGTGTAATTGGCAGGATTCCAAACACTCATTGCCCACAATCCATATGGTGCCTGTGTTGAACTTCATGCGAATTGTCTTTCCTCCAAACATCAGCACAGATGGAAAAGCCACTGTAGCATCAAACCACAGATGGAAACGCCAAAATCTCTTCTAAATAATAACTCTGCCTTGATGTGTACTGCCTGACCTTCTCTGTTCACTGTGACGGGTGCTGGAAGCAGGAGCTACAGGAGGCTCTTTAGCTCAGCAATCTGCTATTGTGATTCAGAAAGACAGGCTTCACATACGTAGCCTATGGCATGAGGAATGCTAGCTGAAGGACAACTGACAGGTGATCTTCAAGGGAAGCGAGCAGGCAGATTGATAAAAAAGTCTGTCTTGAAGTGGCAAGGGAAATTTAGATACCTAACCTACTTTGTTTTTCTCCTCTACAGATCTATTTTACTGGCTGCTCTATGAATCCTGCCAGGTCTCTTGGGCCCGCGGTTGTCATGAAAAGATTCACCTCTGCTCATTGGGTAAGAAATAGAGTTATCATAGCAGCATCGCCCATAGTAATCAAAACAAAATGGCTGAAACCATATCCTTAATGGCAGCTTTGTAGAGGAAAGATCTTTACAGGAAGGAATGCTTATCAAGTTAGCAGATGACATCAAACTGGGTGAGATAACTAATACTGAAGAAGATCGAAAAAACATTCAAAATATTACAAGTTAGAGAAGAGGGCTGAAAAGAACAGAATTGAATTTAAAAGAGACAAGCGGAGAGTTCTTCATTAAATAAATAAATAATTACATCCACAGGTATAGCATGGGGAATACCTAGCTTGGTAACATTACATGTGAAAAGGATCTTGGAACTGTAATTTATCAAAGTGAGACGTGGGCAAAAGAAATATAGTTTCCAAATCATGAGAAGTAATAGTTGCACTATCTTGGTCAGGCCCTATTTTGAATACTGTGTCCAGTTCTGGGCACTCCACTTTAGGAAGGACTCAGACAAACTGGAACAGGTTGAAAAGAGAACAGCAAGAAAGATAATCAAGGAATTGGAAACTATGTCTTATACGGAAAGGCTATTGCTTTAATTTGGATCTATATCTGGTTTCTTGCACTAAGCAGGAATGGGGCTGGACTTGATGACCTGTGGTCTCCTCCAGCTCAATAATGTCATGCTCTAATGTATAACTCAATATATAACCCAGAAATATTTCAAAAAATGTATAGCATTATTCACTTCTGCTTTGCAACAGTGTTGGGCCAGCAAGCTCCATAATGTCATAACAGAACAGGATTTCTCTGTCTCCAGTCCCACACGCTCATATCACAATTGGAACTGTGGTTCTTAAAATGTGAACTGAGAAAACTAGGAAATGCAGAAGCCCATGATAACCACCACAAGTCTCACTGAAATGTCATTTCCTTCCTCTGAAACTGTGTGTGTGTGTGGGGGGGGGCTGTTTTTGTTTTTTTGATCCAAGAAAGAACCTTCAAATTGGTGTAATTTCATAAGGACCTGGAGGCAACTAAGGAATGTATATATATCACTACCTGAATGCATTTCACACTAGCTTCTGAAAAGCCCCAGTTGTTTTGCCCAAGCAGAAACATTTTCATGTTTTAGAAATTTGGAGGCATTATGATCTAGGCTGTGTTCACATAATATGCTATGCCTAAACAAATTTTATTATGTCTTAACATGATATTTTGATTCACACAACCTGCTGAAATAATGGCTAGTTTTTCAGAACTCACCAAACTTACTCAGTCCCATGTAACCAACACCACTGTGTTGTGCAAACCCATCAACGACTGTATTTATACCAGCTAGGCATAGTTGGGGAAATCTGAAAGCCTTTAACCAATTCCTTGTATTGGTTTTCAGGTGTTCTGGGTTGGACCCATTTCTGGAGGCATTCTAGCTTCTCTGTTGTACAACTACCTGCTGATCCCCCACTCAATGAATATGTCTGAAAGAGTTGCCATCATCAAAGGTACCTATGAGTCAGAGGAAGAGTGGGAAGACAAAGAGAAAAGCATGGAAATGTCTTCTCCATAAACAAGAGTGATCAGAAGGAGAGAGAGAAAAGGAACCTGATGGCTTACATGACAATAAACCCTCACTGTATGTCTTGTAAGCCCAAGAAACTTCCCCCAGTGCCCAGGACTTGAAGAGAGAATGGGAAGAGCTTACTTGCCTAAATAACTGTCTTGAATTTATGGCTGCATGTACATGAGTGCACGAGAAAATGTGGCTCATTCAAACAGCAAAACCAGACAAGGAGAGTATTTTGACCTCATGGAGCCTGCAAAAATCTGGATGTGCTCCAGGACTTTCTATCCATATTTCTATTCTTTGCAACAGGGCACAGTCTTCAGTAATTTGTTTAGATATTGACATCTGACTTCCCGACAGGTGTCCAGAATTTGTCACTACAGGTCTATTGATATGCTCTAGGCTTTGGGGGCATAGTGGCTTGAGCTTGTCTCATCTGTGTACTAATATTTGTCACTGGGTCTTGGAATGCGTAGGACATCATTAATTTTAATATTTAGGACAAGCTAAATATGAAGCAAAACCCTGAGCTGAAGTTATGGCCGAGCTTGTGAAAGAGAACTGACAGCCGTTTTGCACTGAGGCCTATGAGGATTTGTATGAGGTCCCACAAAGGCACATCTCCTTTTTAAAAGAAGGTAGTGCTTTAAGATCTTTCTTAGAGAAAGAGATTTCAGGGTTCAAAGAAAATGCAATACATCAAAGCCCCTTGCTTTGACTTCATTTCCATCTTACCCAGAAGCAATGGAGAGAGATTGTTTGAGGGCTCTTCAGTATAGCTTAGCCTGTCTCCTGTAGCTATCTAGGTTATCTTGACTCAGTTCTCCCACGTTTCTGATCCTTGTCTTTGAGAGAGAAGGAGCTTCATCCTTTGTGCTGCTTAGGACAAGCCAGCAGGCAGAGGTTAGGGGAGGAGTAGTGCAATTAACTCATAGAAATGAAACCAGGAGCAGAGCTAATAGCAATAGATGGAATAGTACCTGACCACAGGGATCAGACCAGCTTATGCATGGATTCCAGAGAAAAGCAGCACAGGAAGATGTGGCAACACGTGAGTGCAGTCCCCTCCTTTCTCCTGAGGAGTCATCATTTCACCCTCCCCTTCCTGCCTCAGGGTAACTCCAAATGCATTTCCCCCCAAAAGAATGTGGAAGAATGTAAAATAGCTATATGGGCATGCATATGTATACCGTGCAATTTTAGAAAGAATTCTCCTCCAGCGTGAGGAAGATGCAATACTTCTCAGCACTCTGGGAAAAGACAGAGACCAAATGACATACATGCCAACAACATTTTATCTGCTGCAAATGGACCTCCTGTCAATCTTAGGAAAGCCTGATATGTGGGGCGGGGGGAGGATTCATTCTCCGCGTAAAAGTCTTAAATAAACTAATCTGAACTCGCGGGTGTGTGGTAGAAAAAGCACCTCTAAGCACAGAGAAAGACAACCCCTGGTGGTTATTTGGCAAGCCTACAGACCAAGAGAAAGTTGTCTGAGTTATAGCAGCTGTGGTTCAAGAGGGTGTGATCAAAGGCCAAGCCAAAAGTTGGATTTTAAGGAAGCCTGGCTTTTATGAGGGGAAAAAAACCCCTCATTCTCCACATAAAAGTCCAGTACAAATGTTATACTGTCTGCTAGTTTGGTTTAAAGCTTTATAACAGACAGTATAACATAACTTTGGAGGGAATAGGACATGTCCAATTGTTTTTCTGCAAAAGAAGAAAGCAATTTGCTTGGGGCCTTGGTTATTATTTGTGTCTATAATATATTGTATTATTTATTATCAATGAAAAAGAAAGACTGTGTACAAAGACCTTTGGCTGAAAGCGCATGGGATTCAACGGGAGCAGCATGGGGGAGGAGGGCCAAGGAAGTAAAGAGGGCACGACAGCTGTACAATGGAAGCCCCGCCCCTTTCTACATGCAAGCCGTGTCACCCGCGTGTACAGAAAGGACAGGGTTTCAATCACGCTCCTGCAGCCACCATCTTGACTTTTTGACCCCCTCAAGGACATCTCTGGTGAGCTGTCCAGTTCAGCTGCGAGAGGCAGTAATTTAAATGGTTTAATAAGAAAGATGGCTACCTTAAGGGGCCAAGTGGAGGCCCAGAGCCACCTGAAATATTTAGCTTTCTCCTCGTCTGATTTGAATCCACTGAATTCAAATTCACCGTGTTCGAACAGCACCGACATCTTGGAGACCACAGTAGTGCGACCCTCCAGCTTTGCGTGCTCTAGCCCCACCCCCAATGAGGCCCTGGCCACACCCACCAATCAGAATTTCCCTTGGGGTGGAAGAGCCACATCCAAGGACATGGCTGTGATGGAGGAGCTCCTAAGCAGGTGCTGCCTGGGAAACCAGGATATAAGGGGCAATGGTAGCTTACCTCAGCAGCATGCCCTGATTTCTCTGTAAGTTTAAGGAGAAAGAGAAAAAAGTGCTGCTTTGCTGCTTTCCATCTTTGCTGCTCCCAGGTAAGATGGCAGAGCAAAGGAAAACATTGATTGCTGGAAGATGGGAGGGGGGGAGAGAAAAGGAACATCTGTTGGGGGTCCCTCTGGGCTATGGCACAGTCAGGCACTGTGGCCCTCTCCCAGGTAGCCAGGCCTAGAGGTGCCACTGGGCTTCCCAGTGATAGCCAACTTATGTGCATGAGGCCACTAGGATAATTCTCTAGAGTAACTTTTCTCAACCTTGGGAACTTTAAGATGTGTGGACTTCAACTCCCAGAATTCCCCAGCCAGCCATGGCT